CCCCAGGGGGGCCCTCGAGGTGGAGAAGTTTCGGAAGCCTTCTTGGGAGCCAGAGGAAGATGCAAAGGAGCTGTCGAGACACTCCAGAGTGTGGGGCCCCACAGATGAGAAGGAACGAAGGGGGGGAGACACCGGGGCCTCAGGAGACACTGCAGCAGGTGCTGCTGCTGCTGCTGCTGCTGCTGCTGCTGCTGCTGCGGGCGGTGCTGGTGGGTCTACGCCTGGCTGGCTGTTTGTGTCTGCGGCGGAGACTGAGGCGGCTACAGCGGCCGGGTCGTGCTGCCGCTGCTGCTGCTGCTGCTGCTGCTGCTGCTGCTGCTGCTGCTGCTGCTGCAGCAGCAGCTGCTCGAGTTTGTCGTGGCAGTTTGCTGCTACTCGAACATCAAAAGGAAGCCGACGAACAACTATAATGCACTTTCCTTTAAAACTATTTACCCAACGCTCAGCAGCAAAAGAGGCCAAGTTGAGGGCCCTGGGGGCCCCCCCGGAGGGTACTTCTTGCCACAAGGGGCGGGTCAGGGGGCCCCCCCGGGGCCCCTGGGGGCCCCCCGGGGGGCCCCCCCGGGGGCCCCCGGGGGGCCCCCCGTAGCGGCTTCTTTCCTTGTCTTCGTAGCGCCCCAGACCCTCTGAGAAGAAGAGCCGCGCCCGTCTGCTGCTGGTGCTGCTGCTGCTGCTGCTGCTGCTGCTGCTGCTGTTGCTGCTGAGCGCGGTGGCGTGGCGCAGCCCGTGCAGCAGCAGCTGCTGCCGCTGCTGCTGCGGCAGCCGCTGCTGCTGCTGCTGCTGCTGCTGCCAGTGAGAAAGGCATGCGCTGTCTGCTGAGGCCCCCCGCTCCCGAGACCTGCAGGGGCCCCCCCCTTTTGCTGCTGCTGCTGCTGCTGCTGCTGCTGCTGCTGCTGCGTCGCTCAGCAGCTGCTCGGAGCTTCCTCGGACACTTGCGGGGGCAGAGTCGCCGCAGCCACACAGTGGGTGGCCATCAGCTGCTGCTGCTCCTGCTGCAGCTGCTGCTGTTGCTGCTGCTGCTGCTGTTGCTGCTGCTCCTAGAGACGCGAAGCCACGAGCAAGGCTGCTGCTGCTGTCCCCAGCAGCAGGTCCTGCTGCACCTGCTGCGCTTGCCGGGCCTGCTGCTGTTCCTGCTGTTTCTGCTGCTGCTGCTGCTGCTGTTTGTGCTGCTGCTGCTGCTGCTGCTGGCGCGCTCTGAGATACTGGCGAGCAGCGCCTGTGTTGGGCTTCCCCTTGTTGCTGCTGCTGCAGCTCCCGCTGCTGCGGCTCCTGCTGCTGCGGCTCCTGCTGCTGCGGCTCCTGCTGCTGCGGCTGCTGTTGCTCCTGCAGCTGCTGCGGCTGGTGCTGCTGCTGGTCTTGCAGCTCCTGCTGTTGCTGCTGCTGCGGCTGCTGCTGCTGCTGGTCTTGCTGCTGCTGCTGTTGCTGCTGCTGCTGCTGCTGCTGCTGCTGCTGCTGCTGAGCAGCAACGCCAAGGTTCAGGGAGAACCTGCCGTTGTTAGCTGCGCGCAGCACCTGCAGCTGCTGCTCCAGTTCTGCTGCTGCGAGCCCGCTTGCTGCCTGCTGCGCCTTTTGCTGCTGCTGCTGCTGCTGCTGCAGCGGGAAGGCCAGCAGCTCCGGAGGCAGCGGAGCTCCCAGGGGAGGGAGAACAGCAGCAGAAGAGGCCCTGCGAGCAACTGCTGCTGCTGCTGCTGCTTCGGAGACTGCTGTTTGCACTGAGGCGCTGCGGGGGCCCCTGCTGCAGTGCTGCAGCAGCCCTGCTGCAGCAGCTGTGGGGCCCCACAGCGAAGACACAGGAGACAGACACTGCAGCAGAGGGCCCCGCGGAGACAGCTGCCGGCCCCTGCTGCTGCTGCCTTTCTGCTGACGGCCAGCAGCAGCAGCAGCAGCAGCAGCAGCAGCAGGGGAGGCGTGCAAGCTGGAGGAGACTGGCGGAGCCTCAGAAGCAGCAGGTTTAGCTGCTGCTGCGTCAGCAGCAGCAGCAGCAGCAGCAGCAGCAGCAGCAGGTTTTGCTGCTGCTGCAGCACCAACTGCTGGTGCTGACCGAGTAGCGGCCTTCTCAAGCCCCGTAGAAGAACCCTGGCTGCTGCTGCTGCTGCTGCTGCTGCTGCTGCTGCTTCTGCTGCTACCACTCCTGTTGCTGCTGCTTCCGATTGCTGCTGCAGCATTCTGTTCTGCTCCCCTGCCGCCGCTGCCGCCATCTGCAGGTGCAGCAGGAGCAGCAGCAGGAGCAGCAGCAGGAGCAGCAGCAGGAACAGCAGCAGGAGCAGCAGCAGGAGCAGCAGCAGGAGCAGCAGCAGGAGCAGCAGGAGCAGCAGAAGAAGCAGCAGCAGCTCTGCCAAGCAGCCGCGAGGAGCTCCGAAGAGGTGCTGCCTCCCTCTGCGAACTGCGGGGGGCCTGAGCAGCAGCAGCAGCAGCAGCAGCAGCAGCAGCAGCAGCAGCAGCAGCAGAAGCATCCGCCTGCGGAGCCTCACCCAGTTGCAGTCTTCTGCTTCTGCTGCTGCTGTTGCTGTTGCTGCTGCTGCTGCTGGAAAGGCCGATGCTGCTGCTCTTCAGCAACGCTGTAGGGGAGACTGAGTCATTCGCATCTTGCTGCTGCTGCTGCTGCAGCAGCTCCTGCTGCTGCTGCAGCTGCTGCTGCTGCTGCTGCAACTGCTGCAGCTGCTGCTGCAGCCGGTGGTGGTGGTGGTGCTGCTGCTGCTGCTGCGCTGCTGCGTCTGCGTTGAAGGCTGCAGCAAACCCTTCTCTGGGAGCAGCAGCAGCACTGCGGTGGCGCTGCAGCTGCAGCAGCAAGTTGCTGCTGCGAGGAGACGGCAAGGGGCCCGCAGAGACACTTCGAGGTGCTGTGGGAGCAGACCTGCTGCTGCTGCTGCTGCTGCTGCTGCTGCTGCTGCTGCTGCTGCTTTTGGCGTTATGAGTGTTTAGCTTGGCCACAAGCTCTTCTTCCGCTGCTGCTGGTGCTGCTGCTGGTGCTGCTGCTTCTTTTGCTGGTGCTGTCGTTGTTCCTGCTGCTTCTGCTGCTGCTGCTGCTGCTGCTGCTGCTGCTGCTGCTGCTGGTCCTAGGCCAGACTCGTTGAGACTTCCGGGTTGGTTCTTGTCGGAAAATGCTGTCTGCTGCTGCTGCTGTTGCTGCAGTTGCTGCAACTGCCTTAGCTGCTGCTGCTGCTGCTGTTGCTGCTGCTGCAGCAGCTGCTCCAGCCGCTGCTCCTCCAGCGTCTGCTGCACTTTCTCTTGCTGCAGAGGTAAGACGCCATCAAAACTAAATCTCCGCTTCTCCTGTTGCTGCTGCTGCTGCTGCTGCTGCTGCTGCATTTGCTGCAGCTGCTGCAGCTGCTGCAACTGCTGCTGCAGCTGCGGCCGTTGCTGCTGCTGCCACGTCTGCTGCGCTGGAGCCGCCGAGGGAGGCAACATCCCGCAGGCCCCGTGTTGTGGCTGCTGCTGCTGCTGCTGCTGCTGCTGCTGCTGCTGCTGCAGATGCTGCTGCAGGGCTTGATGCTGCAGATGCTGCTGCAGAGCTTGATGCTGCGCTTCCTGCTGCTGCTGGCTCAGCTGCTGCTGCTGTTCAAGCTGAAGTTGCTGGGAAAATCCCCGCAGCAGCTGCTGTTGATGCTGCTGCTGCACTTGCTGCTGCAGTAAATGCGGGGGCTGCTGCTGCAGCCACTGAGGCTCTTGCTGCTGCAGCAGCTGCTGCTGCTGCTGCGGCAGCTGCAGCACCTCGTGACCAGGTGCTGTGTAGCGATGAGGCGGCGGCGCCGTTTGCTGCCATTGCTGTTGCTGTTGCTGCTGCTGCTGCTGCTGCTGCTGCTGCTGCAGCTCTTCCTGGAGCTGCTGCAGCTGCTGCTGATTCTCAATTAGGCGAGGCAGCAAAATGTTTTGGGGTTGGGTCCTGCTGCCAAAGTGGGCTGTGCCAAGCAGCAGCGGCTCCTGCTGCTGCTGCTGCTGCGATTCCGGTTGTCGTTGCTGCTGCTGCTGCTGCTGCTGCTGCAGCAACTGGCATTCCAGCTCTTGGTTGCCAAGCAGCTGCTGCTGGATTCCCTGCTGCAGTGAACTCTGTCGAATGGGAGCAGCAGCAAGCGGCTGCTGCCCTGTCAAGGCTTGTCGTGCTGCCTGCTGCTGCTGCTGTAGCTGCTGCTGCTGCAGCTGCTGCTGCTGTAGCTGCTGCTGCTGTAGCCGCTGCTGCTGTAGCCGCTGCTGCTGCAGCTGTTGCTGCTGCAGCTGTTGCTGCTGCAGCTGTTGCTGCTGCAGCTGTTGCTGCTGCAGCTCTTGCTGCTGCAGCTCTTGCTGCTGCAGCTCTTGCTGCTGCAGCTGTTGCTGCTGCAGCTCTTGCTGCTGCAGCTCTTGCCGCTGCAGCTGCTGCTGCTGCAGCTGCTGCTGCTGCAGCTGCTGTTGCTGCTGCTGCAGCTGCTGTTGCTGCTGCAGTGGTTGTTCTGCCCATTGCTGCGACTGCATCAAATAGTGCTGCGGATCAGAGAGGACTTCGCGAATGGCGCGGGTCTGCTGCTGCTGCTGCTGCTGCTGCTGCTGCTGGGTCCCTGGAGGGGTCAGTGCGAATGGAGCAGCAGCAGCAGCAGCGGCAGCAGCAGAAGCATCAATAGTTGGAGGCGCTTCCGCCCTCTGTTGTAGCATTTGCGGCTGCAGCGGCAGCGCCTGCTGCTGCTGCTGCTGCTGCTGCTGCTGCTGCTGCTGCTGAGATTGCACGGGACGCGACTCATAGCTCAGCGGCAGACCCATAGAAAAAGGAGCATCCCGTGCTGCGGCCGCGGGAGTTGAAGGTGCAGCAGCAGCAGCAGCAGCTGCTGCTGCTGCTGCTGCTGCTGCGTCAGTTGCTGCAGGGGCGGTCCCCCCAGCAGCAGGCAAAGCCTGATCCGCTGGTGTATCCTCCATTCTTGAGGAATAGTTGCTGTTGCTGTTGCTGCTGCTGCTGCTGCGTGCAGTGCTGCTGCTGCTTCCGCTGCTGCTGCTGCTGCGCAGCCGCAAGTGACCCTGTGAGCCGCACTGCGCGCACAGCCGTTATTGGCGCTTCTATTTCTTCTTTTTAATTTAATTTTGAAATAAATTAGTCAATTAATTCGGAAAAAGAAGATATTTAATGGAAAGAAGGTCTCAAACGCCGCAGACAACAGCGCCGCCAGCAGCACGCAGACCACTGGTCACCAGGGTCTGCTTCGGGGCTGGAGCATTTGCTTCTTTTTGCTGCCACAATTAATTAATATTGATAATATTAATTAATTAATTAATTAATTAATTAATTAATTAATTAAATGTAATTAATGAATTCAAATGCACTGATTGACAAAAGAGCAGCAGAGCAGGAAGCTCCTGGACCTGCCTATACACCCCGCGGGCGCGCCCCGCCCAGCTTTTCGCCCAAAGGCTCGTTTCAGCTTTTTGTTGAAATCTTTTTAATTTAAATATTTAAAAATTAAATTAAATTAAAAAAAGAGTTTTATAAAAGTATTTTAGTTGAATTAAAACAGTTTTTTGTGCTGCACGCACAAGAGTCGCCGGTGTGCACTTCAGCTTTTCTGCTTTTGTTCGGTGACGAAGAGTTTGCTGCTGCAGCAGACTAAGAGGCGCAGCAGCAGCAGCAGTAGTAGCAGTGGCTGCAGCAGCAGCAGCAGTAGTAGCAGTGGCTGCAGCAGCAGCAGCAGTAGTAGCAGTGGCTGCAGCAGCAGCAGCAGCAGTAGTAGCAGTGGCTGCAGCAGCAGCGGCAGCCGAGCTGCAGCTACTGCAGCAGCAGCAGCAATAGGAGCTTCAGAATCACCCGCAGCAACAGCAGCTGCAACAGCAGCTGCAGCTGCAGCTGCAGCAGCAGCTGCAGCTGCAGCAGCAACTGCAGCCTCCATGTACTGCTGCTGCTACTGCTACTACAATTACTGCTGCAGCTGCTGCTACTATCACTACTACTTCTGCTGTTGCTGCTGCTTGTGTTGCTGCTGCTGCTGCTGCTGCTGCTGCTGCTGGAGCTGACAGTAATCCTGTTTGCCAGGTGTGAAGACAAAACAAATAAAAGTAAATTGACATTAAATTAAAATGCCATTTTCGAACTTGGAGAGAGAAAAGCATTTAACAGATAATAAAAGGATAAAAAGGAAATTAAAAATGAATTAATTTGAACAGCAATATTAAAAAGAAACAGAAAAAGCGCATTAACAATGTCTTCTCTTTGCCTCCTCCTTGACTTTATTTTAACTTTTTTATTCTGAATAAAAAGCCATCAAATGCACTTTTTAATTCTGTGCATATCTTCGCGAAAAGAAAGAAAATAAAAGCAAAAAAGAATCCAAAAGTATCTTTTATTTGGCATATTATTTGAAGTGACCTTTGGGTTACTTCATTTCTTAAAATGTTTTATTTCTTTCATTCATTTCCAGGCTGCAGTGTACATACACCGGAAAACCAGAAAGCCAAAAAATCCGAAAAGCTGAAGTGCGCTGAGCTGTACATACACCGGAACTGCGCAGGCGTTTTTTGCGGATTTTGTGGTGTATGTACACCACCGAGTAAACACCAAAATGTTGCAAATTGGACTTCAAGTGTTACATTATTTTATGCTTTAGAGAGTCTATAAATAGACTAGAAATAAATAAATATTTGAAAAGATAAATTAAATATCCTTTTTGCATGTTGCATGCACTTTAGGCTGTTTGTTGGCCACAAGGCCCCAAAAGCCGCAGCAAAGAAGGCGCACTTTTCGCAGCTTTTAATGAAAATAAAAACAATAAATAATAAAAAAACATTAAAGAAGAAAAAGACAAAAAGAAAGAACTAAAAATTCCCCACAATGGGCTCATGGATCGCCATTTCCATTTTGGGCATTTTGCAAGATACACTTCGCGTTCAGGTGTCTGTACACTCGAAGCAAGGTGTCTATTCTGTAATTCGCAGAAAGCATTTAAATTCAAATCTTTTTTTCATTTAATTTAAAGAGACAAAATGGAAAATAAAAGATATTTAAAATGTTTGGATCATGGCCTAAAATGCCCTTTTGCATGAGGGCCGGTGTAATTTCAAGAAAAGTCCAAAAGTGCGGGAGAGGGGGCCAGCGGTGGTTTTTGCTCTTTTTGGCGTTTTTTTTCGAAATATTTGAATTTATTGAATTAATTAAATTAAAATTTATAAATTTAATTAAATAAAAAGAATTAATTCGCTTTTTTCGAGCCAGTTGCTCGATTTTGCCTCTTCTCTGTCCTGCTGCCGGCGTGAGGCTGCGGGGCCCCACAGCAGCTAGCTCGAGTTGGGGTTGTTTTTCTCCGTTTGAAAAGCACTAAATGGAATAAAATAAATAAAAATAAATTAATTTGAATTTAATTTAATTAATTTCCCCAATCTGCGCGCGCAGATACACCGGAAGCCTCTGCGCCGACTCCGGCGTTGAGGTGTATGTACACCTGGGAGGTGAGTGTACACCTGGCGAGGTGTACGTACACCTGGGAGCCCCCGCACCACAACAAAGCCATTTCAACTCCAAATTTTTCCGCTTTTCTTCCAAAAGCATGCAGAGCAGTTCCAGTCTTCTCCCGCTGCTCTCTGGGGCTGAGCCTGCCCTTTGTTTGGCGCTAAGTCCCCCTCTATGGGGGCCCCCCTGCGATGTTGCCCGTGAGGGGCACTTGGGGGCCCCCTCGGGGGGCCCCCCGGAGGCTGGGGGGGCCCCGGGGGGCCCCCAGGGCCCCTGCAAAGCCTGCGGGGAACCCGCCTGCATCTGCGAAGTGCAGCAGCAGCTGCTGCAGGCCCTCGCTGCTGCAGCAGCAACAGGAAAGCTGCATGCAGTGCTGCTGGAAATGCCTTTCTACGAACAGTTTGGCCCGAAGGGCTTCAAGGTGCGCCGGCGGGGCTTTGGGGCTGCATGCGCATGCATTGGCGCATGCATACATGCGTGCATGCATGCATGTATGAGCAAGTGCATGCATGCATGCATGCATGCATGAATAAGTGCATGCATGCATGCACGCATGCATGGATAAGTGCATGCATGCATGCATGCATGCATGCATGCATGCATGCATGCATGCACGCATGAGCAAGTGCATGCATGCATGCATGCATTCATGGATAAGTGCATGCATGCATGCAAGCATGAGGTGTCTGTACACCCGAGAGGGCATAGAGTGTACAGGCAGGTCGCAGCACGTCTGGGGTGTACAGGCAGCAAAGTGGGTTCTTTGGAAGCTGCTGACTTTGTTTTTTTTTTATTTTTTGAATTAAATCTTTTAAATTGGATTTATTTGTTTGAATTTAATTAATTTTGTTTTGTTTCTGCCCCCAGTTGCTGGAAAGAGTCGCCCAAACAGCCCATCCGCTGCCCCTCATCCTCGACGCCAAAAGGGGGGATATTGCAAACACAGCAAAGGCTTATGCCCGGGCCCTTTTTGGCGTTTTGGGGGTAAATTAAAAAAAAATAAATAATTAATTTATTATTTAATTAATGCATTTTGGTCAATTAATTCAGAATTCAATTTGATTAATTGTAATTAATTAATTCATTTATTTGTTTATTGAATAATTGATTAATTACAGTTATTCTATTGTCAACTAATTCGCCATTTACTTCATCATTTAACTCTTTGTTTAATTCATCAATTAATAATCCAAAAGTGAATTATAAATAAATAATTTTAATTTAATTTCTTTCTTTCTTAAAAACTTCTTCAGTTTAATGCATTTCAAAGCGCCATCTCACGTCCTATTATTCATTCATTTCTTTTATTTATTTAATTTAATTATTTTATTTATTTAATTTTATTTTTTTATTTTGTTTTATTTTTTTTAGGCTGCTGCTGCTACTGTCAGCTGCTACATGGGAAGAGACTCAATAATTCCTTTTCTTTCTTTCAACAAAAGTGTTTTCGTTTTCGTCGAGTGTCTCCCTGCTGCTGCTGCTGCAGCAGCAGGACTAGCTGCTCTCAAGGGCTTTAAACCCCCTGCTGCTGCTGCTGCTGTTCCTGCTGCTGCTGCTGCTGCTGTTCCTGCTGCTGCTGCTGCTGCTGTGGATGCGGCTGCTGTGGGTGCGGCTGCCAAGACCGGTCAAGGAGCAGCAGCAGCTGCTGCCAAAACGGAAGCAGCAGCAGCAGCAGCAGCAGCAGCAGCACCAGCAGTAGCAGCAGCAGCAGCAGCAGCAGATCCCGCAGCAGCAGCAGCAGCAGCAGCAGCAGCAGCGCCTGTGGCTATGTATGAACATGTTGCTGAGCTTTGCAGCGAACTGTCGGCAGCGGAAGGTAAGAAGACAAAAATAGATTAATTTAATTTAATTTATTTTAATTTAATTTATTTAAGTTAAATTAAATTAAATTAAGTTAAATTGATTGGATATAAGAAAATAAAAAGCGGAGCATAAAATTAATTTTGTAGATGAGCTTATATAAATTTAAATGAAATTTAATGAATTTAAACGAATTAAAACGAATTAAAATGAATCAAAAAGAATTAAAATGGATTAAAAAGAATTAAAATGAATTAGAAAAAATTAAAATTAAATCAAGTAAAAATAAATAAATTAAAAAGAATCAAAAAGGACCCAAAAGGAATTCAAATCAATTCGCACGAATTAAAAAAGAATTAAAAAAAGTAAATATGAATTAAAAATAATCTATATGAATCTTGAAGAATTAAGAAGAATTGAAAAAATAAAATAAACTTTAATTAAAAAAATAAATACATAAAACAAAACAAAATAAAACAAAATAAGTAAAATAAATAAAACGAAATAAAATAAAAAATAAAATAAATAAACAAAAGTTTGTGCTGCAGGAGAAAAAGGACAAATTGGAATATCTCTTTCAATTGAAAACAAAAAAGACCTTTTTGTCTTTTTGAATTTGAAAAAGAAGTTTAAAAATCTTTTTTTTTTAATTCATTTTAATTCTAATTTGCAACTTCTTCAAGAACTCAACGACCCCACAGGTGAATTTATTTTTTATTTACATAGTTTATTATTTATTTATTTATTTATTTATTTGCTTGTTTTGGTTATTTATTTATTTGAAGTATTATTTATTTGTTATTTGTTTATCTGTTCTGCCTACTTTTTATTTTTGCAATTTTTCTTTTTCATTTTTTATCTCTCTTTAATTATTTTATAATTTTCTTCTTCAATTTTTTTTATTTTCATTTTTAATTTTATTTTAATTTTGTTTTTTAATTTTCTTCTTTGGATTGTCTCCTTTTGCTTTTGTCTTTTAGGGTTTAGGATTGTCTCTTTCTGAAATATTTTCAAATTTCGCTTTTAAATGCTTCAAAATTTTCTTTTTAATTATTTCAGTTTCTTTTAATTGTCTCCTTCAATTCTTTTCAAAATTGTTTTTTCTCTTTTTTATTTTCTTTTTTTAATTCTTTTTTAATTAGCTTCTTTAATTACTTTTTTGTAATTGTTTTTTATATTTATTTATTTAATCCCATGTATAATTTCCATTTTATAATTATCTTCTCTATTTATTATTTTATTTTCCAATTATCTCTCTTTGAAGCTTTTCTTTCTAAAATGACTCTTTGATTTATTTTTGAAACGAAACAAAACAAAAGAGAATTTAAACAATTAAAACAATTAAAAACAATTAAGATAATTAAAACAACTAATTTAAAAATAAAAGTAGTTAAAAATAAAAAGAATTAAAAATTAGAAAAATTAAAAATAAAAATTAAAAATAAAATTAAAATTTGTTTTTTTTTTGCTGCAGTTTTTCAAAACGTCCTCATCAGCGTCAAGCCCCCCCGCCTGAGCGTAAGTGAATTTTCTTTTTTCATTTTTTATTTTATTTTTTTATTTTTCTTTTTTCATTTTTTGGAATTAAAAGAATATTCTTTTTGCAATTAAAGTCTTTTCTTTTTTCTTTTAAATGGTATTCTTCTGGCCTTTCAAATGATGTTCTTTTCGTTTTTCAAAAACCAAAAAAAATACTAATTAAAACCTAAAGATCAGCAGCAGCAGCAGCAGTAGCAGCAGTAGCAGCAGCAGCAGCAGCAGCAATAGCAGCAGCAGCAGCAGCAGCAGCAGCAGCGACTGTCTACTTTTGTTTGTCTCTTTTTTTTTAATTTTCTTCTTTGAATTATCTCCTTTTAATTTGTCTCCTTTGTTCTTCTTATACTATCTCAATTAAATCATCTTTTTTAATTTTCTATTTTTGATTTCTATTTTTCTATTTTTATTTTTCTATTTTTTATTTCTATTTTTAATTTCTGTTTTTAAAATAATTGTCGTTGGGCGTTTGAAGAGAAAAGAAAAAAGAGCCAATTTGATTTGTTCTTCATTATTTTAATTTAATTTAATTATTTTAATTCAATTATTTAATTTTATTTATTTATTTTTAATTAATTAATTTATTTTCATTTATTTAATTTTGTTTTTTTATTTCTCAGGAGGCTCGAAAATGTCTAGAAGAGAATTTCGCCCAACTGGCTCAAGTCTGCCCCCGCCTAAACCCTAAACCCTAGGTCCCCTTTTGAGGGTTTAGGGTTTAGGGTTTAGGGTTTAGGGTTTGGGCGCGCGAAGCCGCAGCTTTTGCCGAGCCTAAACCCTAAACCCTCGGCCACTCTCCGCGCCTCGGGCTCCGCGCGCAGAGCCTAGGGTTTACTAGGGTTTAGGGTTTAGGGTTTAGGGTTTAGGGTTTGATTCCTCGCTGTCCTTTTCTTGCCTCCTTGCGAGTCTTTGGACTTCAAAAAGCTCGGCGAGAGCTTTGGAGGGTTTATCTGAACAAAACAAAAATAAATAAATTAAAATTAAATTAAATTAAATAAAAATAAATAAAATAAAATAAAATAAATAAAAAGAAATAAAATAACAAAAGGGAATTAAATAAATCGAAAATGAAAAGAATTCATAATGGGGAAATAAAGAAGATTGCATTTTTAATTTTTTTGATTTTTTGAACTTCTTTTGATTTAATAAAATCAAATAAATTCCAATTCTTTTATTTCTTTGTTTTTATTTCTTTAAGGTTTGGGACACAAACCCTAAACCCTAAACCCTAAACCCTAAACCCTAAACCCTAGTCCAACAGCGCAGTTATTATAATAATAGTTTCTGTTGTTTATTTATTCTTATTGTAGTTTTCCTTATTATTATTATTATATTACTATTACTATTATTTTATTATTATTTTATTATTATTATTATTATTATTATTATTATTATTATTATTATTATTATTATTATTATTATTATTATATTATTGTTATTGTTATTGTCTTGGTCTTACAGACATAGGCAGCAGCAGCAGCTGCTGCTGCTGTTGCTGCAGCAGCAGCAGCAACGCAAGAGTTGAATTCTTTGATTTGCTGCTGATTATATTTTCCTTGTTTTTGCCACTCAGCGCCAATGGTAGAAAGAATGAAAATAAAAAGAAGATAAAAAAGGCACTGCAGCAGCAGCCAAGCAGCAGCAGCAGCAAGCAGCAGCGCGGACTGCTGCAGCAGCAGCGCCTCCCGCTGCAGCAAACCCCAAGCAGCAGCAGCAAAAGCCCCCAGCAGCAAAGTCAAGTCAATTAAGGAGACAGCCAAAAGAAAGCCCCGATTGTCTCTTCCCCGTTTGCTGCTGAGGGCGCTGAGCTGCGCTGCTGCAGTTGCTGCCAGCAGCAGCAGCAGCAGCAGCCACTGCAGCAGCAGCCGCCGCTGCTGCTGCTGCGCCTTCGCAGCAGCAGCAGCAGCAGCAACTTCTCGACGACGGGCTGCTGCAGCACGAGGACTTGCTGCTGCTTCCTCCTCCAGCTGCTTCAGCCAAATCCGCTGCTCCCCAGACTCGGGGCTTCCCTCGGAGGGTTCCATAATGAAAGACATCTCCAAACCCTAAACCCTAAACCCTAAACCCTACGCCCTCGCGGCTGCGGCGCGGTGTGCAGCGGCTGCCGCCGCTCGCTGCGGGCTGCGGAAACCCTAATTTAGGGTTTAAAAAGGATAAATGAAATGGCAATTGCGAAGGGATTTATTTTGAACTTTAAAAGAAAGAAAACTTGCAAAAGAAGCTGCTGGCGGGCTTTGCTGCTGCGGCCCGCGGGCTAGCTGGGGGCCGCGGCGGCTGCGGGCTACGGGCGAGTTCAGTTGGCCGGAAAAATAAATTAAATGGATTTAATTAATCACAATTTGTTTTTAATTTGCAAAACTAAACAAAGAGAGACAAAGCCTGCAGCGAACGCAGCAGCAGCAGCAGCAGCAGCAGCAGCAGCACACTCGATTCAAGGCCAGAGCGCCGCCGCCGCCGCGGGCTGGCAAGCCACTTGTTTTTTGGCTTTTCTTTGTCCGTTTTTTAACTTTAAAAACATTTTAAAACTTCTAGTTTTTAATTTAATGCAATTTAAACTCCTTTTTGCCTTTTTAACTCGCCGTTTGGCCGGCAAACTGCAGCGCCGACTCGAGGTCACCGCGAGCGCCGCGCAGCCGTGGCCAACTTGTCGGCAGCAGCAGCAGCAGCAGCAGGCCCTCAAAAGCCGCCTTTAAAGCCACAAAAAGAAGAAAAATAAAAGTATTAATTGTTTGCTTTTCAAAAAATAACATTTAATCTTTTTAATTCGCAGTTTTTCGATCGGTTTCTCTCCGCGCAGCCTTCTGCGTCGGGTGTACAGACAGCTCACGGCGCCACCGCCAAGACACCTGACCACTCAGCAGCAAATCATTTAATTTAAACTTTATTATTTATTTATGCTTTTAGTTCATTTTTCTTTTTAAAAAGGAAGCGCTCGCGGGGCTTGCTGCCTCGCGCTACCTTTTCCTTTTTAACCGCGCTGTTCTCTATGTTGCAGCAGCAGCAGCAGCAGCAGCAGCTGCAGCAGCAGCGCTTACGGCATCACAAAAAAAAAACAGCAGCAGCAGCAGCAACAGCAGCAGGGCTGCTGCTTCTTCATCGCGAACAAATGCAGAAAGAGCCCCTTCGTCCTTTCCTTTCGATTAGTTAATTTCAGTTTTTTAGTGCTGTAGCAGCAGCAGCAGCAGCAACAGCAGCAGCAGCAGCAGCAGCGGCAGCAGCAGCAGCAGGCCCGAAGGAGCATGTGCAGACTAGAGCCACAGGCAGAAGAAAACAAAGTTGGAAATAAAAAAGAAACTCTTGCTGCATCAAAAAATAAAATCAAATTCAAAAAAAGAGAAAAAGAAAAACAAATAAAGACGCTTGAGACCGCCTCTGCTGCGCTTACGAAGCAGCAGCAGCAGCAGCAGCAGCAGCAGCAGCAGCAGCCGGAAGGGCAGGAGCAGCGGCTGGAGCAGCAGCAGTGGCTGCAGCTGGAGCAGCCAGAGCAGCAGCTTGAGCAGCAGCAGCTGCTGCAGTCCGAGGAGGTGCAGCAGCAAGAATTGCTGCTGCTGCTGCAGCAGCAGCAGAGGGAAGAGCAGGAGGAGCTGCTGCTGCTGCAGCAGCACGAGGAAGAGGAGCAGCAGCTGCTGCGGGAGCCGCAGCTGCTGAGGCTGCTACAGCAGGGGCAGCAGCAGCAGCCTCCTTGCTGCGGCTGCAGCAGCAGCAGCAGCAGCAGCAGCAGCAAAGATTCTAAGGAAGCAACAGCAGCAGCTGCTGCTGCTGAAGCAGCAGCAGACACAGAGGGTATTTTTGAATTGTGCGTCACGCCCATTTTCTTTTTAAAAGAATAAAAAAATAAAAAATAAAAAATAAAAATAAAAATAAATAATTTATTTATTTTTAATTTTAATTATTTATTATTTTCCTTTTTTATTTTTTATTAACTCCAGGCCCTCCGTCTGCTCGCTGCTGGCTCACAGCCCTTTCTCAAGGATATCTGCTGCTGCTGCTGCTGCTGCTGCTGCTGCTGCTGCTGCTGCTGCTGCTCCGGATCTCTGCAGCAAATGCGCTGCTGCTGCCGCTGCTGCTGCTCCGGACCTCTGCAGCAAATGCGCTGCTGCCGTTGCTGCTGCTGGCAAGCAGCAGCAGCAGCAGCAGCAGCAGCAGCAGCACAAACCTCGACTATCTTATTTTGCATTTAGGGATTTGCTGCTGCAGCGGCTGCAGCAAGAATTCCAAATAGGGGGGCCCCCAGATGTTCTCGGGGGCCCCCTGGGGGCCCTGTGGGGCCC